TTTGAACTCAACAAGTCTAGACAAAAATTTCATCACAACTTGAAAGAGCATCACAAAATTAGTAATATTCCAAAGTTTCGTTGCAAAATGTTGTAAAATGCGGATAATATAGCCTTGCGAAATTTGCAATTTTCAGTCATTTTAGATTACAAACGGGAAATTGACAGCCTCAAACCCTTCGAGGCTGTCAATTTCCGGTTTGTAATCTAAAATGACTGAAAATTGCAAATTTCGCAAGGCTATATTTTCCGCATTTTACAACATTTTGCAACGAAACTTTGGAATATTACTAATTTTGTGATGCTCTTTCAAGCTGTAATGAAATTTTTGTTGAGATCAAAATTTAGTCTATTACGCAAATGGTCAATTCGTTTTCTATAGGTTGATCCACTGTTCCAGAAATTATCAGCAACATTTGATGAGGGTTGTACTAGTAGCTTACTATTGAATCATCTCACTCGTCGAGATGATTTCTGTGAGACTTTGTTTGACTCCAAAACTGTACCCACATCCACCGTGGCTGATTTTGATTGCGGAAATTCTCAGACTGTCGATCTGTCTGATATGAGAGGTACAGTGTAACACTTCATTTTTTAACTGCAGTAAAAGTCTTGAATTCCGATTATGGGGCGTGGATTCGTTTATATACAGTGGAAATACGGACGTTTTTATTACTTCGACAATTATCAATGACAATTATCCTAAATTTATTGCAGACATGAGAATGAGAATATTATCTCCGTCCGTCCAGATTTGTCCTCAATATGATGACTTTAGCTTTACTAACTGGGACCTGAATGCGGAGGTTTGTCAATACTGTAGCATGGGCGGATTTACTGGGGGTTAGAGGGGGAGGGGGGGGGGCTTAAACCCCCCTAACCTGGGAAAACGTCTACCTGCTGTAAGACGACGTTGACAATTTGTCAAGGGTGGGTAGTAGCGAAGTAGTTGTAGTTCGCTACTGTAGCGAACTACAATTTTCAAGTAGCCAGCAGTTTTTCACTACTTTTTTAAAACAGTAGTTGTAGTTATAGCGAACTACTTTTTGCCTAAAAATAGCCAAGTAGTTGACTACTATTCAAGCTGCAAATCGCTAGTCGCTACTTTTTAAAATTGTTAGCAACCGTTCGTAGAATATAATGACATTAAGACACGGTTTGCTTAAAAGATTATTTTATACAGTATAAAGATTATTTTAGCGCATTGAAAAGTGGCACTCCTGAACACTGTATAGTGCTTACAAAAATGTTTCTTTGACCCTTTTTGTTTTAAATACTGTTGCTACTCGTAAGTCGATTTGTTATAGGTTAAATTACAGCCTGAGCCCAAATACTGTAAAACTAAAAAATATAGAGTAGCGAAATAGCGAAATAGTTCGCTACATTTTTTAAGCAGTAGCTGTAGTCAGTAGCGAACTACTTTTGTTCAAAAGTAGCAGTAGTTGTAGCTGACTACATATTTTTGAAGTAGCTGTAGTTATAGCGAACTACAAAAATTTTGTAGTCAAACCACCCTTGCAATTTGTAAACAATCAAACAATAAATACGATATAAATGGACTGAGATAATTCCATCTTTTTATTATTCTGTATCATATAGACTGCCAGAGAGAGCGAAACGTTTACTAACACAAATAATGAGGACGCTTTTGACATGAATGCTCCAGGACCAGGTAGTGAAATTTTCATTATCGAATTTTTCTTGAATAGAGAGGTGATTAGGGGATAAAATTATCAAACCGTGTCCGATAGAAAAGTGGTCTTGTTCGGCCGATTTACTAACAGTACAGTATGTGGCCGTATATCGTGCCGGGCCAGCTCCAATAAATTATATTCAGGCCTGTTTTAAAGCATGAATTTTTAGGTTTTATCAGTTAATAATAGTGCAAGAGATTTAATAACAGTACAGCGTTATGTGTATTGTTTGCAAAAATCAATTATACAATCCCAAAGCAAGAGTTATAATCATTTTCTTCAATGCTGTTTAGCGCCATTTGATCCAATCAATGAAATGCCCGATATGGATGGTGGTGGATTTGATGACGATGATGGCGATGCCGGTGGGTTTGATGACGTAAGTGGAATGCTCCTGAATGTGATTCATTATTAAAAAAATATCACAATTTAGTCACTTAATATCTTGGATAGGAAGTCAAAATGCCAAGGTGAATTACTACATATGATGAATTTCTATTGAATAGGGTCCAGGCGGCATGAACACGGACTTGTCTGGTAATTTGTTGGGCTTTGCTGATGGTCAAGAAGCACAATTGCTTTTACCTGGACAAACGAGGTAACAACGAACCCTCAGACAAAGGGGTTGAAGTCATATGCAAGAATGGATTACTGCTCTAATAGTAGGGATGGATCCAGCCAGATCTGGGGGGGGCTGGTCACGTTGACCAAATTAATGAATACCTGTGTAGCAATGCTGTAACAATAATTTTTGAAAGCATTGGTAGGCAAAAAATTAAACTGTATATGGGATGATATTTAAGGCAAAAATGTTTGCAGAACTGAGATTTTCAGTGACAAGTTGAAAATATTAGTTGGTTAAAAGTATCCACTCGTTCGTATATCTTTACGTTCTTTCTTAAGGCCTATTGAGACGGCACTGGGAAATGCAACTGATTTGGGTACCTTCATGTTATCTTTGCAATCATCGGAAAACATGAATGAATATTCGTATAGTACTTTACCAATGTGGGCTGGTCCTGTTCAGTGGAAAAATAGAGCGCAGTTTGATGCCCTTAAAGGTATTTTCCAATATAGCTATATTTTATTCTTCCCAGTTTATTTCTCTTTAGCCTAAGGGGCTGAAGCTGTTTTGCAAAGCATAAGTATTTTATTTGTTTTCATTAGGCTTAAATAAAGGGAGTTCAAAACGAAAGACCACAACGAGAAAGAAAGTATTCAGGATTGAATTTGATGCAACTCACGACTTTGATAAACTTTTTACAAAAGGAAAGGTAAATGATTCCACTGTGGATGTTAAACTGTAATTCCTGATGTATTCGTGTACATATACGTTTCAATCCTTCCGGAAAGTGGATTCCGTGGCTATAATGCCTCTTTCAAGATTAGAATCTTGGTTTCAGATCCTGGTAACGATCATTTAAACCCATGCCTAAGGCCAATTTTTGAGTTTTCTCGTGCTAGAGTTTCTTCCCCCAAAACCGACTGCTTTGATATGATCTCTTCACATTAGGCCGCGACAGTGTTATCGAAAATAACAATGGATAAACATGCTTCAAACCAGAAAACACTTCCCGATGATCTACACTATGAGTTCAACAACTTAATGAAATTGTTCCTGAAAACTAAACTAATGGTAAGAAGAAAGGCAAGCGAAATGTAGAGGCCCATTTCCACTCAAGAAAATGTTCCACGGCCAAAAAAAGTTCCAAAAATATCATTGTTAAAAGTTGAACATTTTCAACTTAAATTTTTTCCGACGTAAAATTTGTGTCGACCAATCACATTTTATACATTTTTCTTTCCGCGGAAAATTTTTTGTCCGTGGAAATGGGCCTTATGCTGTACCACAATTCCGAGCTTACACAGCATTATCACGTATTACCGCTGATGATCCATGACCACTTTGATGTTCCTCAGGTTCGACGGCAGTATGGTGTTCAGCCTGCTGTAACAGACGATGGAAATGGTAGGTTTCAGTTTAACCATAGGTTTTTTATATTGAATATGACTCTATCAGGTCTCAACTTCTGTTCTCCCCACGGCCGGATTTTGTGCCTTTTGAAAAGATTAAGTGATAATATGACAAAATTTTGAAAAAATATGAAAATATGAAAAAAATGCTTAGGGTCTACACTGCGTGAGAAAGTTTTTCTATAAAATTGAAAATGTGATAGCCATCTGTGTCAAGTGCCCTTTTAAAGTTTTAATGCAATGTTTGGAAAGAAACTTTGTAGTAATGTGATGAAGGGTAAAATTGGGTGGGTCGTACAGTAATAATTCATGGATACACTGATACATATGTACAGTACCTGGATACGTTACGTAGTTCGCTTACGGTATGATCTAAACCTTCTCTATCATCAATCATAGGAAACAACTGGTACAATTATGAAAACGAAAATGATTGCGCCAATTACTGTCCAGCTGATGCACAGGTATATACTTATCTAGTTTCTACTATGTGATGATTTGTGAAAGGGTAAGCTGGTTTTCGACTCTTTCCAAACTAGAGCGGTCTATAATTGATTACGGCCACCACTCTCTGGCCCAGGACGCATCTGATTGGTTAATCCGGTAGATTAAGCGCATGCTAACTTTTACTACTTTTTTATACAACCGTTCCCTGATCGAAACCTTCTTCTTAGGACGATGGTGATGACGACGTTTTTGATGGTGAAGATGCGGGAGGATTTAATGAATATTCATCACAGACTCTTAGTTCATTTAACAACGAAACTGTGTTCCAGGGTGACAAGCTTGTTGCACAACCAAATAAGGTGAGGTGGATGAAATACAGTAGGTGGTGTTTGCACTGAAGGTAGGTTTTGGGCTTTTGGCACGGGGAGCATTCCGTTTCCTTCTCAAATTTTTAACCACACACCCAGGCCATATGATGCATGATTTAGGGTGTATTATCAAGTATATACTCGGGTAACAGTGTTACAAGTGTTACACTATCTTTATTTAGGGGTAGGGTTAGAGTGTGTGTAACACTATGTAACACGGTGGGGGTAGGGTTAGTGTGTGTAACACTATGTAACACGGTGAGGTTAGGGGTGGGGTTAGGGGTAGGGTTAGTGTGTGTAACGACTATGTAACACTGTCAACACTCTGTAGTACTATGTAACAATGTGTAACACTATGTAATACTATGTAAGAATATGTAACATTGTTTAACACTGTGTAACACTTGTAACAGTGTTACAACTGAGTGCCATAATAAAGCCACCCTAAATCGTGCATGGTATAACCCAGGCTAGTAGTTTATTGAACCTTGTGGCCAGTGTTGGAAAATGTCTGGCAGCACCGATGCCAGAAAATGTTTACAGTAATAAAATATCTTCCCAGGTAATTTTCTTACATCCAGCAGGAAATTTTTGTCATCCTAAATATATTGAAATGTCATACAATCTGCCTGTTGATTTAAAATGTATTCAGGGACCCCGAATGAATATCGATATAGCTATAGCCACTTTATAAATGTCACGTACAGGTGCAGAAGATCGACATTGCGTATTCAAAAACAGCGAAGAAAATCGATGTGAAAAAAGTAAAGAGGGCGATGTGGGATGTCATGTCCTCGACAACACGTGATGCAGATAAAGTAAGATCTATATATCATGTAGCTGCATCTCTTCTAACTTCTCTAATTGGAAAAGTGAAAAGGCACAGCAATCTCTCTGTATTAGAGAGTTACAACGATAATTGTACCACATACACAAACTATAGTATCATGAAATGTTCGTCGTCGTCGTATCGTAGAAATTTATTTCAAGACGCTAGCTTCATCAACATACGTTGGTTTTCATGAGGGGCGACGTCAATTTATATACAAAGTATTTACAAGAAAATACGTGGAAACAAAGAAAAACTATTTACAAGAGTGCATGCTGAATACAGGAGGTGTGACACGTACATTAATATTAGTAACAGAATCAAAGATTAATATTTTCTTTGAAACTATGGATTGATCGTGTCTCTTTTGCTTCCCGAGAAAGGCTATTCCAAAGCTTTGCCCCGCTGTACTTAAAACGTTTTTTAGGAATTCCCTTCTCGGTTTTGGGAGAGCTAAAGTAATAGTTCGCTTGCGTTAAACTGCTCCCAATCAACGACTCTTTCCGAGTGTCCGTAATTCATATCGTTCTTTCAAGGAAAATATGCCCGAAAATAATGCAACCGAAGATATTGTCAAAGAGAGCGTTACGAAGCCATGCAACTTTACTGAATTGTATCACACAATCCCGAGCAAAATGTCTAAACAAATGGCAAAGAATCTCTCCATTCCAATCGCTTTTGTTTGCTTGCTTCATTTGGCAAACGAAAAGGTACTGTAAATTAAAATGTTCACGGCTCGGTCAAGGCCTTATTGTGGCGTACTGTAGTTCTGCAGATATGGCCAGGAGCCTACTCCTGTTCAGGCACCTGAAATGTTCATGCCACTACCTACTGTAACCCTACATGCAGTCTACCTACTGTAGTAACCCTTACTAAAACCCCGGTCAAAATAGGATGAGAATTGAGAAGCCAGAATTTGCATGACAATTTTCTAAACTCTCATGAGTCATGCCTTGGTCAAACCAGAACAACAGTTGCATTAGGATTGATGAGAGTTGCATTAGATTGATGAGAGTTGACAAGATATTCCCCAGATAGCAAAAACTGAAAAATTTATGTTTGTGATGTTGTTCTTCAGTGTGGCCACAACGGCCAAGCTGAAACGTTTGTTTGACTGCGGTGGGAATCGAACCCACAGTCTTTAATTTTCCAGTACGAGGTCAAGTCAGTTTGAAATATCACCCACTTGAACTGATTTGACCTTGTAGCTCAGTTGGTAGAGCATTGGACTGGCAAACCAAAGATCACGGGTTCGATTCTCACTGCGGTCAAGCAAACTTTTCAGCTTGCCCGGTGTGGGAACACTCAGAGCAACATCACAAACATATATCTTCACCTGAGTGTGCAACACCAGAAACAAAACTGAAAAATTTACCAGAGTTGAGTGTTGGTCAAATGCAAGTAAGAATTGCAACTCTCATCAACTGTCAGTGTCTTGTTTGACCAGGGGTTAGCTGTTTGCAACTTTTATAATGAAGTTTTTCTGTTTGTTTTTCAGAACTTAAAACTCGAAGGTCGAACATCAATGGATGATTTCACTATTACTCAAGGAGTTTAGCAGTGACAAAAACATCAACTGTATAACTGTAATTATGTGTAACAAAATGCAATAATTGATTTATCTTTTGTTAGAAATAGTTGAATTTATTAGCATGTAATACCACCAGGAAATACATACAGTGTAGTACATATAGAAAATTAAAGGTAAGGATTTTCTGAACTACAATCTAATACTTATACCAAATTCCTACTATAATTATTATTAATGTTGTTTCCCCTTAAATAGTTTTACCAACCCAGTAACAATTAATTGCCTATAAAACATAAATACATAACAGCAAGTATTTCTTCTTCATTTGAAATGTCCAAAAATGTTTGCCATTATTTATATTGGTTTTAGCACAATCTAGAAAAGACAGTGAATTATATTAATCCGACAGCACTCTTCCTCTGATAAGGAGAATCGTCTGGCATTAGACAAAGTAAAATAATCTGGCATTAGACAGAATAAAATCATAAGGTAGGGTGCAATTGCAACTTAATGAGGTTATGTAATAACCAAGGTAGGTAACGATGGTAAGGTAACCGTGCTTCATTATATCAACACATCACAGACTGAGCTAGTAGTATGGGATTCATCCCTGTAGCTGACTACAAGACACAAGCCTGGGCATTAAAATGGAGCTTACCTTCATTACTCCATTTGCTTATTTCCATTCAAGTTGAATGGCGTTGTATTCTTCCTCTTTCAAAGTTGGTCCTATTATTGGATTAAGTTGACACATGTAGCCGATAAGCCAGCTGCACTTTGATTAAGGAATATAACCGGTGATGTCGAAAATTTAATAGTAAATATACATAAAGGATTAAAAATGCATGGCCAATGTCTTGGTAATGGTTGCACGATTCAAACTTTGCACACTGGGAAAGAAGGATGCTCATAACATTGGGGTTACATTTTCATGCGTATGTACTAAAACTTGAATAGCTTCATGTGTTCAAAGTATGTTGACACACTGCAATTTATTGGGCTGGTTTCTGATGCAGTTAAAACCATTGAGCACCAGCACTCTTCCCTTGACGAATAAAATCGTCTGGCATTAGACAGAGTAAAATAGGTGCTATGCAAGTCAATGGGTTAAGGATATTTGAAAAATGCTTGGAAATGCCAATCTGATAACAGATAACAACTACTGGAAACATTTGTCTTCCATCAATCCTATGCCCCCCCCCCCTGCCCAGGGTCTTAGCTAGAAGGCCGTGTTGGCCGTGTTATCACGGCCAAAAATGGAAAAACACGGCTAGCTAAAATGAACGTGGCTTCATTATTTATATAAGGCCGTGTATGTTCATAAAATAAGATGGTGCTACTTACAACAGACAGAATTTCTTTCTATTTACGTCAAAAGAAAGTTTGTAAAATCTATTGTTGTTGTTGAAATTAGCAAAAGTGATTCGTGATGTTTTAATGTTTTGATGGATAATGGGAACCGTATGATGTTATAAATGGTTTTAAGTTTTAAATACCACCAAGAGTTGCTGAAATAACTTAATGTTTTAATGACAGTGCGCAATACGAGTATATGCTCGCCTTGTATTTGGTTGCAAAGCATAGAACAACCACAGGCATTGTCAGAACCGTGAATTTGGATATGCAAGGTAATTGACATGTGCACA